AGCTATGATTTGACATTAAGAGAAACGATTTGGTAAATCCTAATGCTTAATTAATATCGTCTGACCCAAGAAAGCATATTGAATTTTTACAATTTAATATTGTTGGTTAGCACTTCTCAAGTCATATCGCTATAAATGGAAATATATTATGACTCGATCCCATCTGGTCAGAATGTTAGACATAGTCTTTCATAATAAGATATGACTCGAAGCACAGATTATGCAGCGACATGGGATGTGATACGTTTAAATTTGAATATGGATGCGGACTGAATTACAATCATCCTGCTGCAAAGTCTTAACGATTACCAAATTGCATTGATAGCCCCAACTCATGTCTTAACTCACTTTTCTATAATAAGTGCAAGCAATGTCAAGAACTTTTTAGATTTTCGTCCTGAGCAATCAAATATGTTATGCATTGTTCAAACCATTGCAAACACGATATATGCGTAGAAATAAATTTTGACATGTTAATTATAGAGTAAATGACACTTTAATGTAGAAGCAATGAACAAAAATTTACTAAGACTCATGTACTAAACCACGTGACAATCCGAATTTCATTGTTTGGTTGATGATTTTACCCCTAGCATTGAACGTCGTCTAAAGAATGATATGAGACATATCAAGACTTGTCTACTAAATATATTTACCGAGCGATGTAGTACTTGCCTATTAGAGGCTTAAATAAACTCGCTAATTTAAATAATTACTTAAAAAAATAGCTAATAGAATGTCACATCGTATAATAAATCAATTTAGCGCATGGTTCTTAGGATCACTAACATTACTTGATCTAAAAGCATGGATCAAATTAAATTGCATAAGAAATTATATATAATCAAAATATGATATGGTCCATTCGGGTACGGAATAGAAAGAGAGATAATTTTTATAAATTTGAAAATTGCTAAGGATGGGCACGGGAATACACGCCTCGCAAAGCCCTGCCCTGGACGGGGCAAATATTTCTCCTAAAAAATGCCCCCGTGAGGCATTTAGCATGGCATGGGGCAATGCTAGGCCAGTAATAGCCTCGCCTCAAGCTGGCAAGCCCTGTCTGTATATTTAAAAATTAATATTGATTACAAGCAATATATAAAAATTGTATTGTTGTATTATATAATTTATTACAATTTATTGCAAATCTAAACTTAAAATTAAAGTAAAGTAAAAGGATATATGTTATTAATTGAATATTAAATATGCATTAATATAAATAAGTAGAGTTAAGCTCATGAGATTTTCATTTTTTAACAATTATAGAGCATGGTTTTAGAATAGAACCTAGAACTTGAAAACTTGACCAGTGAGAATCAGAACTTTAGCTACTAGGTTCTAAAGTATGCGGGGAGTAGGTTCCCAGATTCCAAAATTGGAAAACTGTTTTGATGAGTATTAAACAAGTTTTCGTATTTTTCTTGGTCAAATTTCTTCGCGTGATCATGTGTTGTTCCATGACGTTAAATGATGAGTGTATAATCCAGAACTACTAGTTTAAGCTTTCATTTTATGACTTGTTAATTTTTTATATTGAACAAATTAAAAGTGAACAAATTGAAATTTCGTAGATAACATCGAATAGTTTAAGGACTAAAATGAACATATACCATAATAAGGTGGAGATTACATTGAACAGAATTAAAATTTAGGACCACAGTTGCAAGATATTGGGTTATAATTTATGGATATATTGAAAAAATGAAAATCTGTTCCTATGGATTAGTTCGCCAGGTGACCTAGAACTACTCACTTTTAATATGCATGGCTCTCCTATTCCGTTGTCGAGGGGGCCTTCCTGGGAATTTTAGGGACCCATCTACAATTCCACATTTTGGGCCTCCAAGAGGCTTTTTGCTTGTATATGTTTTTCATTTTGTTTTTTTTTGGAGTGAGAGTTTTCTCTGTATTATTACTTCATTTCTTTACCCTTTTCTTTTGGTTTGAACTCGTGGGGTCCACTTTATCGTAAAGATCATCAATAGGTCTCAAGTTTTTCGAAACTTCACTTCAGTTTATTTAGAAGTCATCTTAACCAACTTATATAAAGAGATGCAAGCATACGGTGGTGAGCTCTCTTGAGCTAAACCACCAAGGAAAGTTAACAGATAACTAAGCGCGTACAAACGGTTACTCTCGAAAGAAATTGTGCATACACTTAACGTGGGCTCTCATAAGCTTATACCCAAAACAACTTGAGATCTCAATTCCATTCACCTAATTAAACTTACATTTTGAAGTTGCCACTAATCAATTATGGATCCATAGACACTCAAGTAATACACAAGAGTATGCCTTACTTTTGCGGATTAGAAATTTATAGATACAACAACTTGATTCCGCTAAATTACTTTAACACTCTTCGGTATATTTTCTCTTTGTTTTAAAAATATTTTGCATGCAATCTTTGTCAGTTTTATCCTCTGTCATTAATATGTGAGAGATGATTATGCAGGTATACTAGCAATAAAGTAATACTCAATAATCAAAGCAGTAAAAAAATTACGAAAATATGAAGAACCTGGATGCATGAGCAAATGTACGCGAAATCACGTTTTGTCCATTGAAACGAGGTTTCTGCAAACTATAACTCAAGAGACAAATAGGCATTGATATGCAAACACATATGAAATGCATAATGTATGTTTATGCATAAACCAACAACTATTTATCAAGGGGATTAGTATGTAACCTTACTAATCTTTTGGTGTTTTCTCATTTAAATGCCATGATGAATAAGCAATTAAACCCTAAGATACTAATGGCCGAAATATGCATGCATTATGATGCAATGACATAAAAATCTTAATAACTAAGATGCCCAAAATTAATGATTTGATTCAGGCATATTCAAATGACTTAGTATAAAACCCAAAGAACAAATGCCATGCATACTAGATGATATGATCTAATGCAATATGACATGACATAACTTAAATTTTTTAATGATAGGACGTGCATAATCTAAGCAAACATGTATCCCTAAAATGCTAATGGCATCCATAATAGATATTAAACTATATGCAATGCATTAATCCTGAATGCAATATATATATATAAGATGCCAATCAAAATCAATTCCTAAAGACACGTGGCCCCCTAAATGACATGCAGCATGGGTATTATAGAGCTAATCAAGAATCAATTGTATAATTAGATGCACTCTACGTGAGCCATTAGTAAAATATTTTTTGAATTTTCCTTTGTGAATTAGAAATAAGAAATTAGTCAAAATCCACATGATGACCAAATTGACTAGGAGATAATGTGTCTTGAATCCTAGTCATGCAGGAGACAAACTTCATGGTTTCCTAAATTACTTCATGATATTAAGCACATAACTCAATGAAAAGTGGGACTTAGCTAAAATGCTAACGACACGCATGATAGATATTAATTATATATGCAATGCATTAATCAAAGAGAGAGAGAGAGCACTTTATCGCGTAGAAAATTTCAGAGTTTCTCTGAGAGCTCTGAATGAGTGTGTGTCCTTGTAATGGTTGATGGAGGGTCTATTTAGAGGCTTTAGAGGTCAGCTTAATTTGGAATCAAAGATATTATGATGAAAATTTAGAGGAAATATGACATTTATCTCTAGTGTGCACAATATTCGATCAACGGTCGAGATCAAAATGAACATAAATATATATTTATAATTTTTTCATATATATAATATTTAATATATATATGAAAAATATTTAATATTGGTCCCATTGGAATTGACAATTAAGCATTCAAATCTTTTCATATATTGTGTGGATATAGTTTTTGGGCCATTTAAGACTTATTGTGCATGCGCCGTTCGTAGTAGCATCCAAAAGAGATCATGTGATTTGCATGTGAGAAAGGTGTGAGCACAGCACATGATTTGAGGCATGTGCACGGCACATGCCGTCTTATGCTAGGCATCTATTCTAGTGTGTGATGGTTCATGGAAATGCAGAGGAAAAGCCGTGTGAATGGCACATGATCTTGGCATGTGATTGGCACTTGATCAAGTCATGTGCGAGGTATGTGAGCATTGGTCGTGCGAGATGCACATGTGGCCATGAATAAGGAGATGTGGATGTGAATTTTACGGCTCGTGGATGCCCGGGATTTTGTCACGTGGTGACGTGCAATGTGGCCTTATTTGTTATGTTCAGACCATATTCATCTCTCACAATTCTGAAATCATTCGAGTTACTGTCCGAGATTCCCACATTCTTGGAAAGCATATTCGTGAGTTCATCAAACTGATTTTGAGCTCTTTTGCCCAAAAAGGCCTGGACATTGAGTTTTCCATGATATTAAGTACAAAACTTAATGAGCAGTTTACTTACCAAAAAAAAAATGCTAACCTTGGAAAAGTTAAAAGCTGAAGGCAGCTCCCTACCGGATTAAGAACTAATTTTTATCATTACTTGAAGTAAGATAAGTTATAATTTTCTTTCTTCGGTAATTTTTTCTTTAATTTTCCACATACTCACACACATTTATTATTATTATTATTACTATGATGATGATGATGTGATGGGAAGATAGATTCTTACTTTTCTAGATATTTCTCCTCCCCTCTTTCCTAAATACCCTTACCAAATTTCTCAAATTACACAAACACGAGGATAAACACGTGATTAAATATTTTTGAAGTTTACCTATAACATTATAGTTGTAAGGAAGTGCTTTTTCTTCTTCTCTTTCATAAGATCTCTAAATTTTATGTTCAGGTAAACGAAAATCAAGTTTTTATTCCTTTTTGCGAAGAAAAAGTCGACCTATATTTATTATCCTGAAAAATTTCAACATCTGCACAATTTCTTTTTAATAAACAATTTATTATAAAAATCCAGCGTATGGATAGTTAAATTTATATAACAAAATCTAACTCATCAGTGGCAATTGAAATTGAATGAGAACGAGTCACATGCAAATGCAATTGTGCACGTGCACCGGCGTTCTAACATTATCCTCAACAGTAGACTGGATTTTATAGCAGATATGGATATGATCTCTCTCTCTCTCTCTCCCTCTCTTCTTGAAGCTCTGTTCTTCTCTGCCCTGTCCAAGCTTGTCCCGGACATCATGTTCTGTTGGAATTCCATGCGGCAGGACTAAGAGACCAAACGGTGAGTTGGGTTCTTCCTATTTCTTTCCTTCTTTCGGTTCTTGTGCTGGTGTGGTGTCTCTGTTTGGTCATTTTCGTCATCCGGCTATGTTTTCCCAGAGTCTGGCACACACCCAAGTGGCGTGCGGATTCAGTGTGGAGTTCATGCGTGTTTGTTTTGAGTTGCTGTATAAAAGAGTTGGTCTTGAGACGGTTTCTTTTTTGTGGGCAGTCGCGTTTGGAAAAATGTCGCATGAGTAATGCTGATGGCTGCCTCGTTCTGTGATGTCAACCTGCGCTCTGGTCCTCCCAAACTCCATGACTTCCTCTCGGACCAGAATGGGAAGACAAGGTACCGTTTCCTCTTCATTTTCGCAGTACACCCCGTCTGGCTGGTAAATTGTACTTATGAAGAAAGTCAATGTGTTTGTTTACCATCGGACGGAGAACTATCTGATGTTGTCTATGGATTGTCATGAGAGGAGTTGGACATCCCTTAGTTTTTGGATGTGAATGACGGTCTGATGAACGACCGTCCTCATTAAGGAAACAATTTGATGCTATCCGTAGGCAGGGGGTTATGTTGGATACTAATCCTTTGTTTGATCCAAGTATAGTTATCATGTATGAGTATAATCCGCCATGACCCATCTGAGGTATAGTCCTATATTCTCTCATATTTAAATATTATTTCTATTGTAGGATGGTAGTACTTTCATTGGGGAAAATATAATGACCTTTCATGACCGAAATCTCGCCTATTGATTGTATAAATGGATTGAAAGCAACTTAATTAGAAGCTTCACTTTTTACTGTTTGAATGAACTAATAATGTGTGAATGAGTTTTTTTCTATATTGACTTGGAACGAGCAACTTCCATGGTGATTCGACTTTGACGATACTTTATTTGAGTAAAGCATAGGTGATCTAAGACTTGATAAATAAATGATTTGTTTGTTAAGTTGAAAATTGTGCTACTCTGTTGTGATTGCATTGTTCTTTAACTTGGATACTTTACTACAGCAAGTTCTATCTCAACTGCTGTAAAACCCTGCATTATCAGTTATATGTTCTCATCCTTTCATATGTGTCTGTCAAGGAAAAAGGATGTTCTTATTCCACCTGATTTGTGTGGAAAAGATGGAAAAGGAGATATTAGTCATTTTCATGATCTCACATATGCCAGCTCTTTCTGTAGGTCTCACGCACATGCCCAAAAACTATGCTCCTATTCTAGGCAGCATAAATTTCTCAAAAAACTAGACACGAAGCATGTGGAAGTCAAGCAAAGATTTAAGCTTCACCGAGCTTCTTTTGCGAAGAATGCTCATAGTTCAGAATTGGCAAAAGAAGATGATATTTCCATGGCAACATTGATATGGAGGGCAATCAAGTTGCCAATTTATTCTGTTGCCCTGGTTCCACTTACGGTGAGCTTTTTCTATACTCCAAAGATGGATTTTTCTATGCTTCATTGATGATGTCAAGTTACACAAAGAAACCTCTAATTAGTAGTATTCACAGTCTAGCACAAACTTGAAAAACTTTGTCAAACACAAGTATAATGAGAGTTTCCATCAATTCGCTGTATATAGGAAACACCAAAGTTGATAATGATGACTTCCAATTACCTTTTGGATCGCAACAGAAGTACAGTCTAGAAAGATAAGAAGTTGATGGAAGGATGCAGGAAGATGTGGGAACATAATAGAAGTACAAGTTATGGAAACTAGTTGTTTCTTTCTGTGGAGATATATAGTCAAAATTTCCATGTGAGTTCAAAAATGAAATTAAGTATACTGCTACACGACTGCACAATGCTACTGTCAGAGTGGTCCTTTCCTTGCTGACCCTTGTAAACCACAGACATGTATAAGTCCAGCTAATTTGACAGTCCTTGGCAGGTCTATCATAAAAGCAATTTACCGGAAATACTGAGGTTTGAGAGAGTCCTTAGGACTAATGGAACAAAGAATTTAGATGGTGTAACATAATTCTGGCCTAATAAATGTGATGGTAATTTTATATGGCATCCCATTTCTCTATTCTCCTGCCATGTCGCATTCATGCGACCCTGTCCGTCCTTGGCTATTTTGGATGAAGTGTGAAGTCCATAAAATTTTGGAAGCCTTTACGAATCTATTCAGGATGACATCATTTTGGTTTTCTACCTATTTTGAATATATATTTCTTGCATTACATTTTTTGAAACAGATTGGTAGTACATCCGCCTATCTGCAGTCTAGCACTTTCCCTGCAACACGTTACTTTGTGCTCTTGGTTTCCTCCATTCTCGTGATCACTTGGCTGAATTTAAGGTTAGTAAAATGCTTGTTTATATTGAGTTTAGACTGAGTGGTAAAAAGTAGTTTCACCTTGATTGGATGAAGATATTGCTTGACTTCTGTGATATAGAGTGTTTCTTTTGGTTCAAGATTTCTTATTCATTTACTAAGGTATTAAGTTTTTTGTGTCATATATGAGTGAGATGCCGATTGTTCATGGTTTCTGCAGTGTCCACATGTGCTCTCTTCTGTGGGAACTGTGTTAACTGGTCTGATTGTCGTTGAAATGTTAGTCGATCTGTATTAATTGTTTTAATTTATGCGTACAATGGCTTTTTTTGGATATTGTATTGTGGTATGTGGTGTTCTATTTATAGAATGATTCTTTTCTTGGTCTCGGGGGACTGTGGGGTGATGTCTGATCTGATAAATTGTGCCTGATTGTCCCTTCCTAGAAACATGGAAATCATCCTTCAGAGGTACAGAAACTACAGTTGATAAAAACTGCCGAATGAGAATCTTTTTGAAAAAAAAATGAAAAAAAAAAATGCAGCATCTAAGCCTGAAGGCACATGGGTTGCTCACATCATATCGTTATAGATTTGTCCTGTTAGATCCAATTCCATTTCAGGCATTGAAGACCTTACATGTACTTGCGCAGCAATGATGTTTATGATTTCGATACAGGAGCGGATAAAAATAAGAAGGAATCAGTCGTGAACCTGATTGGAAGGTAATCAGTTTGCCTTTGCATCCTTTACACTGTCTATTATCACATCGTTTTGCTTGATGGTAACTGCTGACAATTGCTTTTCGGGATTCATGTTGGCAGCCGAACAGGAACTCTTGTTGCAGCCTATTTGTTTCTTGTTCTTGGGTCGATGGGTCTGATACGGGTATCACTAGAGGCAGGACATTTACGTGCAATGCTGTTACTGGCTTGTGCTATCATCTGTGGTTATATATATCAGGTACATAGTCAAAAGTTTTACTTACATATTTTTACTTCGGTGTGGTTCATTCGAAATGCTCAAGCATCTGAGCCAATCTTGTGAGCTTGAAACTATAAAATTGATGTTCAAATGGTTACATAACTTTGTGACCGAGGCTAATCACAACTCGATCCATCTCGAAGACTGTTCTTTCACATTTTCCCGAAATTCTCTTTTGCAGTGTCCACCATTTCGACTAAGCTACCATGGACTTGGAGAGCCCTTGTGCTTTGCAGCATTTGGACCTTTCGCTACTACGGCATTTTACTGGTTAATGGGCAACAACAGGTAGTTGTAACTGATTTTCGTCCCAAAGTCTGATGTTCCGCTATTAGGACAGGTGTCACTTCTATGTTTTTACTTGACAGTAGCGCGAGCTATCTTCCCTTAACTGGAACTGTTCTGTGCGCATCTCTCCTTGTTGGCTTCACAACCTCTTTAATCCTCTTCTGCAGTCACTTTCATCAGGTACTCTCGAATTGAGCCAGATTTTGTTGACATTCTTGGGATCACTAATTTTGACACACTTGCGGTCATTTTTTCTTTCAGGTGGAAGAAGATATCAAAGTCGGCAAAATATCCCCTCTGGTGAGTTAGCTGTCCCTTGTGGTATGAGGTTCTGTAAAACAAAATTAGACATTAACACCGCAATTTCATGTGCAGGTTAGGCTTGGAACAGAGAAAGGTTCATCAGTCGTGAAAGTGGCAGTCGTAGCACTTTACTCTTTTCTACTAACTTCCGGTCTCAGCAGAGATCTTCCTTTTACTTGCATCGTGAGCGTCTTGTCGACTGCATATTTCCTTAATCTCTTAGCATCTCATCATCAAGGATATGTTGAAATATTCCGTGTCTTGCATTGATTTTGTTTTCAATTACTCCTTCATACTGATATCCATCTTAATAACAATTCAATCCAGATACTGTGCCTTCTGACCTTACCTATGGGAAACCGGGTTGTTAGCTTTGTCGAAGAGAATCATGAGGTGAGCGGGGAACCTGAAATCACAGTACGAAGCTGAGATTTATTTGATTTTTCTATTACAGCCCGAATATATATAGTTCGTGCTTTGTTGGCTTATTTGAGTAGTAGATTGATGATGTTCCTTTTTCTTCGTAATGTCATTATAAAGGACAAGCGGTCAATATTCATGGCAAAGTATTATTGCGTGAGGTTACATGCTTTATTTGGAGCTTCATTAGCTGCCGGATTGGTGATAGCTAAATTTGGCTACAAGAGATATGTTCCGAGGTTGATCTTATCCTAAGTTCTTGACCTCGATTCATGCATCAAGGACTCAATGAGATACGAGCTTCCATGCCAAAAGTCACGAAGTACTTGGTTGGATTATGACGATGCGTCGATGTTGCCAAGAATAGGCCACAATTTTGCAATCTGTTTGTAGTTGTACTAAAGTATGTGCTTGCCTTGCTCTGCAAGATGAGCAGACTTAGGTACTACATTCTGTTTATAGTCCTGTACCAATTACGAATGAGAAGCACATTTATTCCAAACTATTAGAAGACCCGTCCTCGCACGGAAAATCTTTTATTTATTTCAATTTTATTTTAGAGATATTGACAAATTTAATTATGATTGTTGTGGCTATTGTCTCCTTTTTAGGAGTAATGTCAAATTTTTATAGTCTTACACTTTCTTCCACCCCGATGTTTATTTTTCTTGCAGTGTGGTTTATGCCATGTTTTTTTACGTACTTATATCATATAATCTTGATCAAAAAACGAATGCAAGGGGTACATTAATTATTATATTTATTTATACAAAAAGGAAACCAATTTATACATTATTCTTAGTTATAATGTGTAATAAAATTTGCATAATGCATGGTTATGAATTAAGTCCTCACAACATGAAAATGATTGTCGAAATCAATGAGATTATTAGGATTGAACTCCTTGTGGATTATATAATATGATGGGAGATAAATGCTTGCTTGACAAAAGATGACATATTTTCTACTATTGTCCGTGGTATTTTTAACAGCCCAAGTTTATTAAAATCCCATTGAAATCAATGTAATATGCAAAATACATATCGAAAAACTTACAAACCATATAAATTTATGCCGACATAATAGGACATGTTAGGGAAACAAAGAAAAATTATATTTCAAATTCTTATGCAAACTCAGAAATATTCAAAATTCAGAAAATGAGCAGAATATGATAGAAATTGAATGACAACGAAGAGAAAATCAATAGGTGAAATTTGGATGTGAACATGCCGAGCGAGTAATACTCACACTTATTTAGTGGTGTTTCTACAAAGAACATTTCTAGGAAGAAGTAGCTATGAAGTACAAGCCACAATGTCAGGATCTTGCTTGAAAAGAACCATCTCATCTTGGTTTAGAGTAATCCAAGCATCAATTCCACCATCATCAATGGAGCTATCCACAAGACCAGCTGACCTCAGAGGAGGGCTTGTGTTGCTCACCGAGTCTGGCTTCCCCCACCCAAAATCACTGTCATAGAGTGGGAATCTACACCAGCTATCGATCAGAATCACGTTTGCTGCATCTCTGCCCAACATACCGACGCAATCTCTCAACGAATCTGCCACCGTCGAGCACAACGTACCTGCGTCTGCTATCGCGGCGTACTTCAATTTGGCATTCCTATGCGCGTCGCCTATCAGATTCAGTATTCCACTGAAAGAGGGCTCTCTCTCTTCTACAGCAAATGGAGAGGTGATTTGAGCAAAGAAGTTGCCGCATTCGTTTGTGGGTATCTTTAATTGTACTCTCTCGCGCAAGTTGATAGGTGCGGAAAAGGCGAAAGGCCTCGGCAGGCCTTTTGTCACGCGATCAACGCTGATAAGAGCCTTACATATCAGCGCAGACACGATTTCCACGCGTGACCTTTGGCCGTTGTTAGCTATTGAATCCGATGAGTTGGAAGCAGCTTTCAGTCTCGACAAGGCTAGGCCGCTGAATTTGAGTCTAGCCAGCGCGAACTCTTTCCTGAAGGGGAGTGCGGGCCATTGTATGAATGTGGGTTCTTTCACCGGGAATAGAGATGGCAGCTCGAAATTCGGCGGGACTACTTCTTGGATTCCGCTCCGGCATGCGGTGGCCCACGAGTTCATGAATGTGGCCATGGTGCACATGTCGCCTATCTTGTGAGAAAAGCGCATGCCGATTGCTAATCCGCCACAATAGAACTCGTTCAGTTGAAGCACGACCAGCGGATTGCTCCCTGCTTGCAGCGGGAATTTCGACAAGCAGTGAAGAAGATCAGGGTCAACATCTCCCTGAAGGATCTGCTGTAGAGTGCCATCCACTTTGGCTTGAATAAATTCCACCCCTTGGTCGTTGCAGTCGATGAAGAGCCCGTCTTCGACGTACCGACCGGCTAGAGGGTAAAAGAGGGCTAGTGTTTCGGAAAGCGACTCCTCCAAGCGGTGAAGCCTCTGAAGAGTATCGATCTCGTGCAATCTTTTGTGAGCTCGATAGTAGAAAATGATGCCGACATGTTTAGAAAATAACAGGTCATCAATGAAGGACACACCGAGCTTTCGATGTTGATTCGGCGTCGGAGCCGATGGCTTGACCAGTTTCGTGGACTGTACTTCGACCTTCATGTTTGGTACACTGTCTATCACTTCGGTACTCGTTTTAGTATTTCAAGGGATCTTCTTCATGCACATTTTAAGGTTATGAACCAGAAAAGAAGAGACAAAACAAGTCTATACACAGCGCAGGAAATGATTCTCATCGACCTTTATGACAGGCTGTGTAGACATCTTTCGGTGCATAAACATCACGATAATGTCGGGGGCAGGTACGAATTACTTTTTATTTTAGTGATTTGGAGATCTTTACGACAAGATATGCCAGGCAAATATGTACTAGTTTTTTATTTTAGTGATTTGGAGATCTTTATGACAAGATAAGCATCATAATAATGTCGGGGGCAAGTACGTACTATTTTTTATTTTAATGATTTGGAAATCTTTCTGACAAGATAAGCATAAAATAATGTTGAGGCAAGCATGTACTATCCAAAATAGATATATCCAAGTTTTGAGAGTAAAATTTATTCAAATTCAGAATTATATATATACAGATTTAAAGAGTAAAATTTACTCGATTTAGAGAATACACATATCCAGATTTAAGAGTAAAATATACTTGGTTCAGAAAATACATATATCTATATTTTAAAGTGTGCAGTCTACTCGAGTTCAGAAAAACATAGATCTAGATTTTGAAAGTAAAATCTACTCGGATTAAAAAATACATATATCCTGTAACATCCTCAATTTCAGTTCCTGGGAAATGGCTATGGTTTAAGTTTGGTAGTTTTTCAATTGGAACCAATTTTTACACTTGTTCTGAAAAACCCAGTTTCGGATTCTTTGTACCCCTTCGTTTTGTTATTTTTGTGGAGACTTTTGTGATCCGAATTTCCAAACACTTCCCTCTTGAAAGTTTCTCCAAACATCTTGAAGTTTTACATACTTTAATTTCAGAATTTTTGGACTTGATATGAGTACTACAACAGCCTAATTTCCGGACCGTGTAAAACTGCCTAGAATGGGTATTTCGGTGATGTTCACATTTTCTTTATTTTCTACAATATTTTCTAGGCCGATTTTGGAAACGTTTCCTTCACAAAAGTTGTTGAGAACTTCCTTTTCTATAATATATATAAATTTGGGAATTTTTCAAGATGATTTGGATTCTAGAAAGAGCCTACTTTGAGAAACAAGAATTCTGTTCCAGCGAACTATTTTTAGTCTGTATTTGAGCTACTAAAAATTGTGTTTACAGAAAGATTCAGATTTCGTGTTCTTCACGAAATTTTTTTGTTAAGGCCTTGTTTATGACATATTCAAATTTGAGAATTTTTGGAGTCCATTTACTATGTTTTCAAGTCCGATTTCGTGAACAGTGCAAAACTGTCCGGTTTTGTCCGGTTTTGTCAGATTTCAAAGATTCATCATTTTCTATATAAGAACGTTGGAATCTCAACTTGATGTCTTTTGGTGATATTTGAGGACATTCCCATGCCAAATCTCGGGTTGAACGAGATTATTATACGTGTTTTGTCGCGAAAAACCCTCGGAAAATCTTGAGAACTAAGCATGATGCGGGTTGTGATTTTAGTGCCAATGAGTTTATTTCGTGTGACCCGATTGGCCCGAATCAATTACGTAAGAAACCAGCAAATCCAGAAGGCTCTAGGGAGTCCACGGTTTGGAAAAGTTTAGAAGAGGCCAGAAGATAAGGCTTTGACCCTTCAAGCTTCTATTATTAAGGTTCATCATGACTCATTAAATGGCCCTTGACTTAGAAGCCCCCTTCATGATGGCAAGCCTTAAATGAAGTTGGACTTAGAAGACCCCTTCAAGTCCGTGAGCGAGTGCAGCGATCGCTACTTGTCTCCTTCCAAGCTCGTTGAGCGAGCTCATGCCAATGGGGTAAGTTCTTTTTTCCTTAAATGTTTTGTTTTCTTTAGCCCAATCTCTAAAGGGATGATTTTGGGGTTTGAGATGTTATTTATAAGGTCGTTCTATCTATATTGAAGTTGTTTGTTCAGCCGAAAAAAAGAACAAAAAAGGAAAGAAAGAAAAGAAACAGAGGAATGTGTAGCTTGGTGTTTTCGTCGTGTATCTTGTCAGTTTAGTGGCTCGCAGAAATGGAGGGTAACTCAAAGTGTTAGAGTAAAACTAAACTTGATTCTTGCTCTTAAATCTTCTTTTATCTTTCTTTCCTTTTCACTTGCAATGCATATTGATGGTACATTTTGTTAGAAACTGTTTTTGCCCAAAAGCTCAAGTGTTGGGAAATGGGTCCATCCTTTAATACTCCCCATCGCTTGTATACCAGACTTCACGCAGGATGCGGGCGTGAAAACAGCTGCTTCAAACAATCAATAGGAGATAATAACACCACCATTCTAAGGAGATGAATAATGTAGATAAGAGGCAATGGCATGATTCAAACTTTTGACCTCTGCTCTGATACAAGATTCAGATGATCAATGAAACTCGTATGTTTATGCACAAGGAGACATGTACTAGTCGTGAGAAGTACTAGTAGAGTTACATGTGTCGTATAATTTTTCCATGTGAGGGGCCTATTAAGTTTCTAGAAAGTTGTTTGGATAAGCTGTCTGTCTAAAAGCATTTGGTTTCTTGGAATCCCGCGAATGAGTAGTGGTATCAGAATCCAAATTTAAATACAAGTATGAACTCCGAAACATAAGCCACCACTTGAGTTCAGTACTAAACTGCTGCAGATATTTTTGCACCTAAAGTTGACATTTTCTAGTTAGTTAACTACCTCGGAGTGGTAGCACTGAGATGCCAATTCTATTGCTAAAGATTGCCTCAGTAACGCCAGTACATGAGTTATGTCCGGCCTTTCTACTCCAGTTGGCCGTGTACAAGACTTTGCAATCTCTATCACTTTCCAAGCCGAGTCAATTTCGAACTTCCCTTGTAAACTTGGATCCATAATCATCTGTATTTCTTTAGTTTCAACGATAGGAGTCATCCACTGAAGTAAAAAAAAGTTGCGCACTGCGCCTCTAGTTACTACTGGATGTCCTGTAATTAGCTCAAAGAGTATGATTCCGAAACTATAAACGTCACTTTTCGTGTGTGGCCTTGAATATGGATAAAACCTGCATATACATATGAGAATATGGATGAGAAGACAATTTCTAGGTCATGATAAGGCTTCTCTTTGAATCTCTTTGAGTCATTTATCCTTTTTGAGCTGTTTTTTTTTTGTCAAGTCCAAATTTTAACCACTTAAGAAGTGGAAAAGATAAGACCTATAAACATTGAAATGTTTCGCCAGTAGTTTCGTGTGTATCCAAGTAGTGAAGAAGGGATGGATATTAATAAATGAGAAGTGACACATGAAATCTTGGGGAATGTCTGATTTTGTGCATAAAGAGATTGGACAAGATTGAGTTTTAGTCATTACTCTAGGTCGAAGTAGCCTGGAGTGCCCAGAGGACAAATTGGATAAGAATCAAGAGCTCGAGGTTCAAAAGCTGAGATACCAAAGTCAGCTAATTTAGGTTGCATTTCCTCATTCAACCAGATGTTTGCAGCACTCAAGTCTCCATGGATGATGGGTGGGTGGCAATCATGATGAAGATAATCCAAACCTGCAATTCTTTGCAAAAACTCCTTAAACCGTGCCAGAGCAAAAACTGCAATAGTGGATATTTCATCTACATACCTTGTGCTACATCCACGGCAATTTGAAGTCTCTTACTCCAAGTCAAGAAATTTGGCCTGTCGCCTATTAAATCAACACATCTACCACCGTTATATGTGAAAAACAGGCATCTTTGGGATAATTCTAGAGAAAGGACTGTAAAAGAGAATGATAAAATACCTGTTAAGTTTTGTTGCAGATTTCCACCATCCATAAATTCATATATTAGCCCCTTGGTTTTGGTGCCATCACAATATCCAAGCAGAGAAACCAAGTTTTCATGGTGAGCAGCCCTCAAGTGTTTGGCCTGCAAAATCACAAGTGTGCATTACCAGTGTTTACACCGACATTAGTTTGGGACCAAGTTTCTAAATATGCATCATTTGCCTTGTTCTATCTAACCTTGGCTTGAAATTCCCTGGACCCTCGCATAGAAAAACAAAAGAAGACCTTCACAGCAACTTTGGTGCCATCCTCTAGTGTGCCAAAATATACATTTCCAGATCCTCCTTCAACGAGAACTGTTCCAAAGTTCCCCGTTATCCTCGCAAGTTCGCCATATTTAAAAGGTCCATCCTTTAAGTTCAGCATCTTTTCCCTAGGTTTTACACCATAATCTTTCCAATAAGTACTACATAACAACTTTCGAAGATCGACAAGTAGATTATCAAGGAAAATCTTTGCAAGATGCCTGCTGCTGAGAAATCCAACCTATAGGGCAGCATTTTCTGAAATTTGGGAGCTATATTCAAGGAGAAGATGACAAAGAGGGAAAAAAAACAGTAGGGATTGAAGTTCTGGCACCTTGCGGAGCAATGAACTAATCAGGGAAAATAGTATTCTCAAGTTGTTACTTTATTCGCATGCTTGTCATGGATGAAATTCTGGGTCATTAATTATTAGGAGCTCAATCAAATATAACCAACATGACTCTCTAGAACTATTTAGCACATCATGATCATCCTCCCTTTAGAACACTCTTCTTTTTTTAGGGTCTGTTCTTTTCCAAAATCACGTTGCCTGTCACCTTTACATGATGTTTTATTGAAGAATCCAGCAAGTATTGTCCAGAAAAAGTAACCGACTTACAGAGCCTACAAATAGGCCAGAGGACTCTTTGGAATGATGGGCACAAGCACAAATGAGAGAAATGTGAGCATGAGTGCGTGTGAGTGTCGTGGCCGAAATGTTAAGATGCAAGAAGTACCAGCGACGGCGAGCTGGCTGACTAAAGCTCTGATGCAGCCGTCAGTTTAGTCACGTGGTGCTGATGGTGATGATGCTGGAGATTGAGGAAAAGCGTGGTTGAAATCATCAGGATCTTGAGCGGGATCAAAGGTGGCGAATTTGAAGACCGTTTCCTTCCTTTTGCTCTGCTCTCGAGAACCAAATCTTGTTCTCTATCACCACCTGAACAAATGTCTATGCACAGGACTTTCATTTTTTTTACTTAATCCACTCTTTTTGTTGAATGCTTTCGGAGGTTTGCTGAAGAAAAGTAAGCTAACTATGAAGTAAACTATTGAACATGGGTATACTAATTGGTGTTCTTAAGATTTGGTAGGTTGGAATTATATCAGGAAGGATTAGTACCACTTTCACTATGGGTGATGGGAGAAAAGCAATGTTCTGGTTTGGTAGATGGCGTAATTTCCAGCACTTAAAACTCTTTTTAGACCGGTTCCTTATTTCTATCTATAAAGATGAGATTGGAGCCAATGTTCTTAAGGTGAAATGACGGATGTTTGCTTTGGGTCCAAAATTTTTCACTATTCCACGATCTTTAAGAGATCCACATTTCAACTTACTTAGAAGTTGAATGGATTGAGAATCCAGTGTAGTAATAAAGAGAAGCTGATGTGAAATCTAAGAACAGGTGTGTGTTTACTTCAGGCCCTTTTTCGAGGTTTTTGAAGTTTCATGCAATTCCAGCTTCCTTAAGAGCAGATCAGAAAGTTTTTTATTCCCTTCTAAAGTTAGCTTTACTTCTTCATGTTATCAGATACATATAGAAGAGATCGTGAGTCAATTAATCACCTATTCCTTACTGTCGTTGCCATTCGGCTTTGGTATTCAGAACCAGAAAAATCTATTCTACTTTTGATCATGCTGAAGTTAGTTACAGGCTTGTGCAAAAGCTTGGGGGGGGGGGGGGGGGGGAGGGGGGAGCGGGTATTGGTGGTAATAAGAGATTCGAGGATTTTAAATATGGGCAGGTATTCCACATTGCCGGAAAAGGGGAATGCTTTTGTTACATCTCGCTCATCGCTTTCATTCTGTTTCAGGTTCCTTTCATTCTGTTTCAGGGGTGTTTGATTTATGAACCGCCAACTGCTCTCCTGTTGCTTGCGGAATGCTGCTCTTTCTTCTACTTGGAAGCGTGAAAGCTACTCGCCCTCTGCTTCTCTCCTTGCTCTGGTAAACCGTGAAGCCAAAGAGTACACTTGGAACTGAAAGCAGGAACCATTTCTTTTCTTCCGATATCTAATGTTAGGGTCTTTTGTGAGGAAAAAGTTGAACATTCCTTGCTCAACTAAAATTTCAACCGAGGACCTAGAAGCTGAAATCTTTCTACATCTGTTGCAAGATTACTTGATGTATTCTTTCTATCTATCTTAATATATGGTATAAATTTCTCGCAAAACAGTATTTAATGAGCAGATTGTTCTCGGTAGGTAAATAATCACTTATGAGATAGGGAGATTAATGGCATGTCCATCACATGGATTTGTTTAAATACATGGATTGTAACATCTTATCTTGTGTTGCGATTGTTCATTTGAGTAGCTATAGGGAAACAAAAAAAGGATGTCATCAGCTCTAATTCTGTGCTTTGTGCCTTTCGGAGATTGAAACTGTACCTCCCAACTAATGGAAGAGGACTAATTCTTTTGTGCACTAAAAATAATGCAGGAGCAGTACTTGGTTTAGATTAAAACTGCAGGCTCATAGTATGGGAAACTCTGATGACTCATCCGTCTTACTTTCTGTTAGGATTGGAGCAGGAAACTGTGCAATTTATATCTCTCTTCCATATATTTTTTGTGGTTTACTGCATCATGTCTGACATCTCCTGGTTGATGACATCTTCTAGTTGATTTTGCTTACCTTTCTTAAAGTTCTAATGAGAGTAAGGTGCTTTTCATGTAGTGAAGAATCTAAAACTTCTTTGCCCACGTGGGAATCCTCTGCAAATTCTGATGTGCAAGATAGCCTAGGACTTGGACTTGATGAGCAGAAGGTTCAAGCTTTTGCAGCTTCAAAATTCGGGGCAAGAGAACTCCGTTCCCTGATTTTTAAGGTCCTCTTTTTTTATCCATTTTTATGCCTGCATTTATTTCGTGATCTTTATTCTTTACCCTTTTAGTCCTTCCATACTTCTACCAACTCAATTTTGTTTTCCTCCTTTTCAATATCATAGGGGGGAGGTTTGATTACTTTGGCAAAGATTTCTCAGCTGGTAAGCGCACCATTCACCTGAGAATCTTTACTTTTTTTTTGGTCAAAGAGAATCTTTCCTTCACTAGGTCCATTTAATATGTTTTAACCTAGTTTCCTCTTTAAGGTAGATTGCAAGAAGATTATCGGGGAAAGTCCTCTTAGAAGCTGCTAACTATCAGATAAGAAAGGAAGTTGTCAAGAAAGTAAGTGCTTGGCAAATTTTGTATTGTCATTAACTTCATCAAGTCCTCACGACATGGAAATAGAATACACATCCTGTTCATTTGGTTACTGGATGATCTAATGCTTGTGGAAAATATGCGTAAGAAGCGAAAGTGCGTAAGAAGCGTTATCCTTCTTCCAATGGGATAAACAATTGTGGATCAAAAAGAGTAAATTAGAAGACAAAGCATGCAGCGAGTATGCAGGGGGTCTCCTTCATAATTGAATGATTCTCTTGAAGTCTCTATACTCACTTTATAAATGACCTAGCAAATTAAGGTTTTGCGCTGTAGTTAATGAAAAATTTGTATTTATTTGGCATGGCGCTTGAACTAATAATTACAAGGAGATTGAAAATCTGACTTATTTAATTATGTTTGTTGGGATACAGGGCGGACAGTTGGCTGCTATAAATCTTGTATCTCGTGCGGCCTTGCTTGCTGCAAAGAAGGTGATGACATTTGAATTTGCAGACACACTGGAAAGTTATCATAGTGCAACAACGCATGGTCATTTACTCCATAGATATTTTATCAAAAGCGAACTCATCATTATGTTTTTGCGTGATTGGTTTTGGCAAATACTAGCAAGGCACGTAGCAATAGAAATTTTACTTTCGACTGGTAAAAGAGAATTTATGTATAGGTTGTTAACTGTGCTTGTAGTACTGCATCGACTATTTGGAAAGAGTTGGTTTCTTCCACTGACCATAAATCATCGAAGGTTATGCGTGTAAACAATAGCTCACCAAGGAGGTATTACTCAATGTAATTCACATCGTGTTCTGAGAGAGAGCTTGCTTTTGTTACTGGGTCTTTGTTAAAAGTAAAATAAGGAAGGAAGTTTTCTTTTTTCGGGGTCTAGTACAGAAGATGAGCTACATTATGTTTAGTGGTGCGAGTGTGTTGAGGTTGTTCTATTCTGTGTTTGCCTCAGGACTCTGAAGAAGAATGGTTTTTCCGGGTTCTGCTCTTGTTGGGTTCCTTTGCTTGAGGTAGAGTTGAAGTGTATTGCTTGGTGGGTGTTTGTTTACCCGCGATTTGAGGTTGAACTTGGATTTACAAATTACAAAATAGGTGGATTTGAGGTTGAGCTCTGATTTGCCTAGGCGTTCACTCCCACCTAGTCGACACTAACGCCGCCTCCGACAAGCAAGGTCCGCCGCTGCCCACGAGCAACGTCCGTCACCTCCCACGAGCGAGGTATATTTTAGATCGTGATGTCTTTTTTCCTCATGTATATTTTCATTCACGACATTTAGTTGACATGAGTGTGCTTGTCAAAGGGCTTCTCAGTAGTACAGGTTGGGATGAGCTTGTTTATGTTTGGCAACATGGGACTGATCCTAGAGCTCCTTCAATTAGTATAAAAATTTCATTTTTTGGGGTCCCCTCATTGAGTTGTGTCAACTTGGGATCAGGATTCTGAATGGCCAAATTTGAAAGTGTAATTGTCGTTCTGCGGTTGATCTTGGTAAATGACTCGCAAATAATTAGACTGTAAATTAGATTCAATAAAGCAGGGAAAATTTCTATTTGCATTATCAAAATGGTGAGTTTGTGCTTGTTATGTTCACCTTGTATGGTATAGCACTAGTGATGGTTCTCCTGTGTTTGTTTATTGCTGTGATTGTTTAACCTGAGCTTTCTAGTCTTATTATAAGGATCTAGTTGCTGTAGTGAAATTTGTGTCTCGATTATGAATTTTCCGTGTTGCTCGGTTTGATCAGGGAAAGACCATGTAGTTGCCTCTTCTTTGTCATGCAAGGCTGAGGTTGACTTTCAATATTATAGTTCCTTTGTTTGGTTAGTGCAGCATTCTTTGATACCTCTCACTTTATGGTCGCTCTTTCCAACCTGTAAAGAACCTGTTCTGGGCGTGGGAGTTCCAACTTCTTTGACAAAATAGTTCTGGTGCTCGTCTCAAAACATTGTTTCTTTGTTAATTGTGTTTTCTGAGCATTTGAAATGATTTGAAAGTGTCATTTTAATGCCTCTCTCTAAGGTGCATATTATCCCATCAAATAAAAGAAGTATTTTTGTTAGTGTGTGAAAGATCGTGAGTTAGTATAGAGTAGATGTCTCGACATTCCTGTCAATAAGTCGACATGGACTGAGCCGCCAATAACTAGTACTTATTTATACTTTCTTGGTGCCGAATGGATCGATATTTGCCCCTTAGCTTGCTGCTCACCTTGTGTTTGAAAAAATGCCTAAGCCAAATCTGTTGAGTGTTTGAGGTTTTGACGTTGCTAGATCGAATGGACCGAATGAATAGGGTAGTGCTAGCGTAACTCGATACATCACAATGAATGACGTGCTGTACTTTATCTGGTGGCTTCCGAATGAATGGTGTGCTGCGGCTAGAATTTGTTGTTGTGGGGGGGGGGGGGGGGCCAGATGTTCGTTAAAATTCCCCAGAGAAAATTGAGTTGAATATCTCACCGGATAATCATCTTTTGTGAATGTGTACTAGAGATGACGACAATATATTAGAGATGATGTGGAGAGGACCTTGAACGAGTGGACTAATTCTGTACCTGCACTGGTGTTGCATAGGGTCCTACTTCATTCATGGTTGAACATAATTTGTGAGAGTGCTTTTCCTGCTTTATATTGGTGTGTGATGACGTACTGCTAGTTTGGTGCATCAACTAGACTCTATATCTAATTGTGAATCGCATTGAAACAAATTTTTTTTTCCGTTTGAGCAGTTCATGGTAGTTTTGTCTGGAGAATTCTGTGGTCTCCTAATGAAAATGCGTCCTCACTTGAGTGCGTATGCTTGAAAAGATCCTTTTTTTACTTGGTCATCCGTCAAAACACTTGGGTAAGAATAGTCCTCCTTACTTTTTTGGAATATGACTTCCACTTTTTAAATTAGGAAGTTGTTTTCCTTAGTTTTGAACTTGGCAGTATCGCATGAATTGTCACTTGCTGTTCAGTGTTTGAGCTCCTTAGAATGAATGGTAGTGCATCACATTTCAGCCCCTTGCATTAAATCGATGTCACCTGCGAATCGATGTCACACTTCATGCTCATTTTGTCATGATGGCAATTTTTTCGGATACTGTCATCTCTAACTTACATATATGGCAGTGGCTTGCTCATGTACATAAATTTTCCATGGATGACAACCTCCATTTGAAAAAAAAAAAAACCCCAGCTGTGTTGCATATATGTATCGTGCGTGCGTAGTTTCTACATTATAGTTTTGGATGTCTTTTCTGATAATGAACTCCACATTCTAGTTTTCTGAGCATATACATGAGTATGGACATCCGTAACAATTGATATACATCTATTTCTCGTCAAGTAGGGACATTACTGAACTTAAACCTGCTGGAATTATCTTTCAAGCTTGCTGGTTGGGACTGTTTTGGTGTCATTTTAATCCCAATTTGGTATCAATTTGGGTGCAAATTTATCGGATGGCTGAATCAGAGGTAATTATTTGCTCATACTATGTGAAATATATTTTTCTTAAACCACTGCGTTGATAACTTTTTGTTCTTTTAGTTGCAGCATGAAACTTCCCATCTTGCACACGTAATGCGTGATATGGAAAAAAATTATGAGTTTGCGGTAGGAATGGTTTTTCCAAATGAACTTGAAGCATACGATAAGTATGTGGCCTATGCAATCGGCAAAGGATTTGGGGTGAGAAAGGGTAATATGTTCAAAAATGGTAAAGGAGAATTAACCCGACGAACTTTTGTGTGCCATTGTGAGGGGCATTCGGTCAGCTCATCTGATCAAGAAAAGAAATTTGAGAGGTATGAAGTTAGATGTGGCTGTCCTGCTCGTATCAAATTTAAGGTTAACAATGGTGTCTATGAAGTCATGAAGCATATTTCTGAGCATAATCATGCATTTATTCCGGATGATCAAAAGCATTTGATTAGATGTGGAAGAATTATGTCTGATACTTCTAAGAGTGTCTTAGTTGACATGAGGAAAGCCGGCATTGGAGGGACTACAGCGTATACGTTTTTAGCAAATGAAGCTGGAGGAAGCAAAAACTTGGGTTTTAACCTGCGTGATTGTCAAAATTATTTGCAAACGAAAAGATCCGATGGTATAAGTGGGGGAGATGGTCAAAGTGTTCTAAATCATTTTCATCTCATGCAAATGCAAAATCCAATGTTTTCATATGCTGTACAGTTAGATCAAGATGGTAGATTGACAAATTTATTTTGGAGAGATAGCATGTCAAAATTTGATTATGATTGCTTTGGTGATGTGCTAGTGTTTGATACCACGTATTGTACCAACAAATATAACATGATATATGCACCATTTATTGGGATTAATTACCATTGGAAGAATGTTTTGTTTGGTTGTGCATTTTTGTTGGACGAGACTGCAGAATCATTTATATAGTTATTTGATGTTTTTTTGAAGTCTATGGGAAATAAGGCTCCGAAAACCATATTCACTGATCAAGACCAAGCCATGGCAAAAGCCATTATAACGGTGTTTCTGAATACATAACACTGTTTATGTACTTGGCACATCGGGAAAAATGCCAACCAAAACATCCCACATCTTTACCATAAGCCGGGTTTTAAGGATACTTATTTCTTAGCGCTTATGTATAGATGTACATCGGAGGAAGAAATTAAATTTACTTGGAGGGAAATGGAAAAGGGGTGGGATACTGCGAATAAACCTTGGCTTCGGAGATTACACGACATTAGACACAAATGGAGTTCAGCTTTTGGTCGTGACATTTTTACATGTGGTATAAGATCCAGTCAAAGGAGTGAGAGCACCAATAATGTCTTCCAACGTATGTCGACGAAGACATTGACTCTTGTAGAGTTTGTCCACCACTATGAAGAACAAGTGAAGCACATGAGAGAAATTGAAACTCAAGATGATTTCAGTAGTCGAGGGAATCCCAAATTGGCAATTTTGGGTAATGACATCTTGACACATGCTTCAAAAGTGTATACCCGTACCATTTTTAAACGGTTTAATGATGAATTCATGCAAAGTGTCTCTCAACGTATTTCAAGTGAAGCATTTGATGGATCGGTTTGTTTTTTTACTGTCAAGTTAAAGGGGAAGTTAAATGGGAGTGGAAATGTTGTCAAATTTGACCCTGCAGACTCTTCAGTTTCGTGTGATTGCAAATTATTTGAATTAAAATGGTGGTTGTGTTGCCATGCGTTGAAAGTGTTGAGTGAGAAATCATCGGTTATGGGTGTTCCATCTCCCTATATTTTGAAAAGATGGACTAAGGGTGCCAAACAAGGGATTGTGAATGATGAATCTCATGAAATGGCATCGGGTTCATCTAAATTTAATCGATTTTCCACGTTAATGCATCAATCCTTTGAAATGATGAGTTTGGGAGCCGAAGATGCTGATACTATGAGAATAGTGACGGGGGACATGGAAAAAACGAAGGCTAAACTTTTATCACATAAATCGAGTATGGTTGTGACTGATGATGCTGGTGATGATGATGATAATGAGGCTTCTGTGTGCAAGATTTCGGCATTGGAACCCCATCGAAGGAAAGCAAAGGGAATAAGTTATGGGAGGCTTAAAAGCTCAAGTGAGAAAAAGAAGAAAAAATCTAAGGAAGGAGCACCTCCAACACGAATAGAAAGTCGAGGTGAGTGGCATATTATTCTACTTAATATGATTAGTTAAATTTATTGCTTATGTCACATGATGCCGATAACATATTTATTACTTTGTAATTTAGAGTTGGTTGTTTAAGCAACACAAGATGGAGCTCATTTCCCAGATTATTTGCATAATTCAAATCAGTTTCAAAGTGCCTTTTATCCTAGCAATATTGGTGGTCCTAGAGTAAATCTAAGTTTTCATAATCAGGTATATTGCTCGTAATCTTTCAGTTGTATTTACATTTTACTAATTTGGTCAAGTTTTTTTTGTGGATGTAGCAGCCACCATACATCATGCCGCCGGGGATTATGAGTGGATTTTGCCCATTTCCCAGTCAGGTATTTAAAAGCTGAACTTATCAGATACATGAATGAGAATAATCTTGCAAAACAAATTAGTAGTGACAAATTTATTATATGTAGATGCAATCACAATACACCATGCCGCTAGGGATTATGAATGGAATTTCTCCATTCACTAGTCAGGTGCTTATTATGAAATCATTTTAGATCCTAGTGTTATTTCACCTTATTATTACCATAGTAATATTTATTGTTAATGGTTTCTGCTGCATAGATGTTGAAGTATCATAATAGATCTCATGGAATCATTTTGAGTCAGGTACAACTTGCTTTTTTTTATTCAACACTTATTTGAGACATTTATCTTGGCATTTGTTTAGTAAAATGTAAATAAATTGGTTATTCCTTTGTGCAGGGGTCATCAAACTCTTTTCAGCATCCTAGGGTGAATGAGTTGAACGACTCTGAAGGAACATAAATCAATTGTCTGAAGTAACTCATAATTTTGTCTCTCTCTAGGAGGAGGAGGAGGAGGAACTCTCCCTCTCTTTTATGTACATGCTTGAATTTATAGCTCGTTGTGGATGAGCTCGACTTTGATTCCCGCCACTTCTCGTCAAGAAGAGGTAAAAGAGCTTGACCTTGAAATTTGAAGTAGTTACCTTCGGGTTGGTAATAGGGGTCATCTAAATTATTAATGTTACAGGAGTTGTTATTGTGATATTTTCCTTTCTGTGAACGAACATCACTTCGTTGTAGACATTTGGATGATTTGTCCTTGCTGTTAACTCTGAATGTTTGAAACATTTCCATGGCTGATTGAAGAGAGACTTCTCTTTGGACATGGAATGTCCATCTCCATTATCGTTGGATAGTATGCAGCTGTGGATCTACTTTTGTTAATTTATATGTAATTGCAGGACACTATTCTGTAGCTGGAGTTCCAAGGTGTGAGAAAGCAACTAAAAGTACAAGTTTGTAAATCTTAAAGCCTTCAGAAATTTTGGTATTTGGACTTTTTTAGACTTGGCATGTATGTACACCAAGGCCAGTTGCATCAAGGCTTGCTGCAGATCGTCGGAGTAGGGATCGGAAGCGACGTTGCCGCTCGGGGCTCCAGTTCGATCGGCAGCGGCGATCGGATCGCGGACGGGCAGCATTAGGTTTTCGTCGGAATCGAAGAGATCGATCGCGCGGCAGCTGCTACGGCGGCGATCGGGGCGGCGGAGGCGGGAGGTCGGGGCCTCCGCTGACATGACCTTGGGGTATATTGTAACAGTCTGAATTTTCGATCCTTTTCCCGGGATTTAGGAAATGAATTTGACCAATGCACTATAGTGAGATCTCACCCGGGACCCGCGCATTCACGGGATGCTAACCTTAGGGGTAGGGCTATTACGGGATTGAGTTCGCACGACCAAAGAACTCGACCTGGGTTCGATCTTCGACCATATCGATTGACGAGGGAATGTTTTGAGCCAATCGAGACCGATCTATTTGATTGATCGTGTCCAAAGGGCACTAGTGACAGACCGTCGCAATTATATGACAATCGAGGTCGTCTTGGTTCGAGCAAACTTAAACGTGATTTGACTTAGTGTCGGTCACGGGTCGAGAGCGCGTAATTCCAGAGAGCCACCCGTTAGCCAGAGATAAGCTAAAGTCGTGATTGTTCGATTTTAGTCATTTCTTGGAATTCGGGCCCGGGAATCGAGAATTTTGAAAGTAACAATTTTGGACGGCCGATGACGTTTTTGGCTTGGCCAACATTGGGGCCACCCATTTCTGCAAAAAAATAGATTTCGGTCCGGGGCCAGAAAAATTATGGTTTTGCCCCTATGGACACCGATGTTGGATTTTGAGGCCGTTTGAGGTTATTTTTCGCGGCCAAGGTCATTTTGGGGTGGCCACGCACATTCAGAGTGGTTTTGACCAAAAATTGGAATTTCGACAAAAATTGGAAAAATAATATTATTTTATTCCCGAGACTTTGACGTGGATTTTCGAGGGCTTGCGCGATGAATTTCGCGATTCCGACGCCATATTATGTTGGCCACGCACATATGGAACACGTATGTGCGAAAATTGGAATTTCGGTTCGGGATCGGAAAATTACGAAAATGCCCCTAGGCCATTTTTGATTAATTCCGAAAATTGGATTTAATTTTGGGATTAACCAAGGTGAGTTAGGCTTAACTCAGGTCTGGTCAACCATGATTAAGAGCAAATGACCATTCTACCCCTAAATTATTGGATTGGATCAAATTTGGGCCCTTGGATTAGGGGCAAAATTGTCCAATGGGCCTAGATTGTGACACTTGGATCCCACTAAGCTATCTTTGACCCATTTGACCAGATAGTCTTCTCTCTCTCTCTCTCGTGCTGACCCATTCAGCCATTTTTTCCCCTGAATTTTCCTCTTCTTCTTCACGTTTACGGTTGCGGTCCGTTTACGCCATTTTTGAGTTTGTTCACACCTAGGAACAGTACCCGGCCGTCTTGCCCCCACCAAGCCAACATCACCAGCAACCATTTCCACCTGCGTGCGGCCACCACGGCCCGAGTTTTGTCCAAAATAGCCTTGTTTTCTGTTTTTCTCTTTCCGTCTGCAAAGCTGATGCAGCCGGAGCTTCGTCGGAGCTCCGATCCCCATTCCGTCGACACCCGGCCGTCCGGCCTCGCCGTGCGTCGCCGTCCGGCCCTGATCCGTACGGTGTCCGTATGCAGGCCATTGTTCCCGTCCGTACGGATCACATTGTTCACGCCGGACCGTCGGACCTTGCTGGTGTCCATCAGAGCACCTCGCCGGCCACCATCCCAGGCCTGTCCGTACGGGGTGTCCGTACGGAAGTACTGTTCACCACCGTACGGGGGGGATCACTGTTCACGCCGTCCGTACATCGCCGGCGACGCTGCTGCCGTTGTCCCGGCCCGTTCCAGCCCCGTTCTGTCTCGCCTTTTTGGGTAAGTGTTTTCCCCAAATGTCATTTAGGAACTCGGGTATTTCTAGGCTCGTTTGAAGTTCGGTTTAAGTGATTTTAGGGACTGTTTGCTGGCTGTGATATGCCGTGTGATATGCTGCGAGTGGCTGTTCGATACGCAGTTAGTACCATTAGGACCGGCTCGTAATTTTATGAAAGTGCCGTGAAGAGCCGGGAGTGAGATATGGTGATTTTGAGGGCGAAAAAGACTGATTGATGGCTGTGATGTGTGGTTTTAGGTCTTGTGGGGTCTTGTTTGTCGTGTGGTTAGTGCTTGTTAGGTCCGGCCCGAGATTTTGTGAAATTGCCGTGAAGGGCCTGAACTGATTTGATAACGTTTGGGTGTGGAGAAATGCTAGTTTGTGTGTTGATCGTGTGTGTTGTGATATGACTGTGTGGTTGTGGCTGATTTGGGATTGTGCTTGGGCTGATTGTGGACTGGCCATGTGTCGCGTGTGTGTGGCCGTGAAGTGTGGTGGTGTGGTAGTGCATTCGCGTATTGTATTCGCGTGCCAACAATGTGTGATTGGGTGTTCGTGCGGTGTTTGTGTGACGAGGTTGTGTAAATGTGAAATGTGTGTGAAGTGTGTATGTTTGGCAGTGTGTTTGTGTGGTTGCGTGGCAAGTGTGGTTTGAGTGGAACGAGGGTACGGAAATGTGAGATTGGTTGGAAAGGATCCGTCCTGAGGCGTGTACGTTTACGCGGGACGATGCCGTCCCTGACGAGGTGACGATGCCCGGCCTGACGAGGTGTCGATGCCTGACGTGGTCAGAAGACCGTTGGCCTGATGCGTTTTACGCGGGCGTGGTAGAAGGAAAGTGTGTGTAGGATTCCGTCCTGAGGCGTGTACGTTTACGCGGGACGATGCCGTCCCTGACGAGGTGACGATGCCCGGCCCGACGGGGTGACGATGCCTGACGAGGTCAGAAGACCGTTGGCCTGATGCGTTTTACGCGGGCGCGGTAGTGGTGGAAAGGTAGAAAATGAGTGGGATTTGGCAAGACAAGCGAAAGGATTGAGGAAAGTGATGCATGGTGTGAGTAGCGTGCGAGTGTGTTTGTATCGCGTGATGTGATGCTTAATTATGGGGTAGAAACTGCTAGGCACGGTATGGGACGTGCCCAAGTGATTTCTGTCTTATAATTGAGGCACGCGCGCGTCTGTGATTCCTTGTTGTGATGTGTTGGCTGTGTTATTGTCTAACGTGCAGGAACGTGCGTGATGGATTCCAGGTAGGGTCGCATGTGATTGTTAGTTTGATCGACCGTTGTGTGTTATGTGTGTTTTCGTCTGGCGGTACGTGAGTGCCTACGTGGGGTTTGGGGTTGTACACTTATTGAGATTCGTCTCACGGTTGTATAACCGCCACTTTTAGACCCCCGACCCTAAACCCGGGAAGCGCGCCTTTTCTTTTTGGAAGTCCGGGGAGCTGCTGTTGGTGCCCAGTGGAGCTGCAGGTGAGTTCCAGAGATTCAAGCCAGAGATTCAGAAGCAGAATGGAAGAGGGCGACCCCTAAGTTTTTCCCTAGGGTGTTTTAGGGGTTGTATAACTTGGGATATCCGATAGTGAAGTTAAGATAACCAAACCCCTGAACTTTTATTTAAACGGTGACTGAGGATGTTAGTTTGTATTTATGTCCGTAATATGATGTTTGTATATTTGGTGTTGTATGAATATGTGGTTCTTTGGATTGTTACGTTGTTCTACCCCGTTGTCGTCATTATTTGTCCGGGGTTTTGTTATTCGCTTCCGCATGTGGCTCTGATGTTTGGGTTGGGTCGGCGACGTTCCTGGGACGTCGCATCATTTCGACCGGAGCAGGGGATGTCGCGAGCTCGATGGGGTTCGGGGCGTGACATATATGCTGATCAAACTCGAAACCCGACCCGGACCGCCCCGACTCGATCCCTGGGGTACATGCTGAACAGGGTCTTGGGCTGGGTCTGGGCGGGTCAAGCGCGACCCTGTTGGTTTTGGGTCAGGTAGGGTATCATGGAAGCCCAACCCGACCCGACCCATTGACACCCCTAAGAGTCAATTTCGTCTCAAATGGATACTGTTTGCCCAGTCACTCCACACCATTAAGAAGCTACTTTTTCAAAGCTCAAAATAGCAAGTGTTAAGACTCTGACTGAATCTTCCAACCTCACTTCCATCCCTTCCCACTATGCCTACACCACCTCC